AGCATGGTAGCACACGCCTGTAGTTCCGGCTACTTGGAAGACTGAGGTGGAAGGACTGCCGGAGACCTGCAGGTCTACTCTGGGGTGGTTGTGAGTGTGCCACTGCACTCCAGCCTGGAAGACGGAGTGAGACTCCAACTCAAAACAAAACAAAACAAAATAAAAAACTCTTAGGAAACTAGAAGCAGAAGAGAATTACCTCACCCAAATAAAATGTATCTACAAAAACTTACAGCTAATATCATGCGCAATAGTGGAAGACTAAATACTTTCCCCTAAGCTTGAAACAAGACAAAGATATTTACTCACAAGCTACCATAATCAAAGGCCGTGTGGTATTGGTGAAGGGTTAGACACATGGATTCATGAAGCAAAATAAGAGCTACACAAATAAGTAAACCCACACAAATTTGGACAATTGATTTTTTTTTACAGAATTGTAAAAGTTCAATGAACAAAAAAATAGTCTTTTCAACAAATTGTGTTTCAACTATTGGACTTCCACATGCAAAAAAAACCAAACACTTCAACTTGACCCTTCCATATTTTACACAAAATAAACAAAGGTAGATCATAGGTATACATTTGAAACATAACTATGGAATGTCTAGAATAAAACAAAAAAAGTAATCTTCATTACCTTGAGTTAGGCAAAGAGCTTTTAGACAAGACACCAAAAGCACATTACACAAAAATAAATAAAATTATAAATTGGAGTTCTACTTTAAAGCCCTTTTATCTGCAAAAGACACAATTAAGAGAATGAGAAGACGTGGAGAAAATATTTGCTAATCATATATTCAACAAAGGACTTTCGCCCAGAATATACTAAGAACTCTCAAAACTCAGCAATAATAACTCATGCCTGCTTTCTTCTTTTTCTTTTTCTTTCTTTTCTTTTTCTTTTTGAGTTGGAGTCTCACTCCATCACCCAGGCTGGAGTGCTGTAGCACACTCACAGCCACCCCAGTGTTGACCTACTGGGCTCAGACGATCCTTCTGCTTCAGCCTTCCAAGTAGCCAGAACTACAGGTGCATGCTACCGTGCCCAGCTAATTTTTTTAATATATATTGTAGAGACGAGGTCTTAACAAGTTGCCCAGGTTGGTCTCGAACCCATGGGCTCAGGCAATCCTCTCGCCTCGGCCTCCCAAAGTGCTAGGATTACAGGCTTGAGCCATGGCGCCCGGCCATGCCTGCCTTCTTAAACTAGGCTTTGTTAATCAGCATATCTCTTTAACATAATATAGTAGTAGGTGTTATTATTACCTAAAGTCTAGTTAAGGTGTTCTTAGAAGTCCTAATTCAGAGTTGAGAAAATAAACTTTAAGTTGTACAGAAAGATCATTAAGAATATAATGAGCCGGGCTCGGTGGCTCAGCCTGTAATCCCGCGCCTTTGGGAGGCTGAGGTG